AAAGACACCATAGCATCAGCTAGTCAACTGATACATATCTTACTCCTTGAAATATCAATTTTGGGGTACATCTTGCAGATGTCTCCTCCATGACTCTGGCCCTGGAGGTACAGACTTTCTTTGCTTTTTGCTTTAAGCTTGTCTTGGATGCTGTAGGGGACACCATGACTTATGACAGCTAGCTATAGCCCCTTAGAGACCAAACATCAGCTAAGAATTGCTATAGGAAAGCAGAGCTCTGTTTCAGAATTTGAGAACTCTCACAGCTCAGGCTTAGTGACAGGATCTCTAGATGAGGCTCTCTTGCACCCACGGACTGTTCCTTAGGTTGTTTATTTGTAGTGGTAGATGCTCTGACCACTTACATACATTAGTAGTGGAAGTGTTATTTACAGTCGAAGCCTCTTTGATCAGAAAATATATTGATTTAGCTGAGACAATGTGTTTTCTTCCAGTTGTCCTTTATGAAGAAAAATAAATTTAATCAACCAGTGTTTCTTCTTTTTCTCCCAATTGTATCTCTTTTTTGTTGCTTTTTTTAAAAGTATATGAATTTTAGAGCTGGAGGAAATATGGCAATAGCAGCCCTGGCAATAGAAATTCTGGATTGATATTCCTGCCCTCTTGTTATCCCAGGAAGAAGTAAGAGGCAGAAATGGCAGTGCAAGCTTCTGCACGCTGTCCTGCCTACATATCTCCAACTCTGATTGAGTGTCCAGTTCAGTAATTGGGAAGAAAAGTCCATCCATGACTATTTAATTTTTATCCTCTCTTAGACTGACAGTAAGGATGTGAATTACTGGTAGGGTAATTTCTGGTATTTGAACTCTGTCTTGTCCATTAAAAATTGGATTCAAGATCACCAACTCATTTAACATATGACACCAAATGGAATTCATATTGTAATGTTTTCAATCACTGGATTTGAATAATTTCCATGACCTAAATGTGAGAATTTCTTTACTGACCAATACTCCAAGCTCCTGAGCTAGCCAACACCACAGTTTGTAATTTTTATCGAGATAAATTTTCTCATATCAACAACCTCCACACAGACCAAATCTGTGGATAAAAATTAAGATATTCAATTCTTCCTGTTGGCTAGTGGCAAGAAAAGCAATCTTCTTGCCACATCCTCCTCCTTCCCCACCTTTTTGCCTGTGATAAGTTGATTCTCAAAACACTAGGAGGTGAGGTGCCAAAACCACCCTATAATATTGTAACAGTCAGCCATGGATACAAGTGTACAATCTACTCATTCATGCTCTCTAACAGGAACTAACACCAATTCCAGTGACTATTGTCCCTGTGTGGTACAGACCACACAATATAAATTTTAATTTGTACGTGGTATATACATTTGACATTTTTAAAAAGCAATTTTTAAAGCTGGATGAGTAATCCTTTGAAGTTAAGGTATTTACCAGGCAAAGTGTCACATTTTCCCCTGAAGGTTAAGCTGACACTTATCAAAAGTGACAGGATTCATGAACATTTTTCCACTGAAGGTCCCTATCTTTATATTAAAAAATTTACACACACACACACACACACAATTAGTCTACAGTATGAAAATGTGCATGAGAGTGTGAAGGAAAGGAAAAACGTACACATGTATATCTTGGGCTAGTTAGCTTGTAATAGGAAGACAAAGTCAAGGACTACATACATAGCAATGGATGGAATTATGAAAAGTCTTCCATAATATAATTCAGGTACAGAGAGTATAATTCTGGCCCAGGCTATGATTCTTTGACAACTTATTTCACAGTAGCAGATTTCAGTGATTTTATAATCATAGATAATGCACAGATTTATAATAATGGCTTGTCAATGGGTAGAACAACAGGACTGAGAACCATTATTTTCCCAGACATTTTCCCAGACATTTTCCCAGCATGTGCCAAATGCAGAGAAATGTGAACAATGACTAAGGAAGAGGCAATATTGCTTTTCTTATTCAAACATACTCCTGTGGACAGATGTACAGAAGCCTACCTGTTCATGTTTGTAGACAGTATTACCATGGAAATACTGACATAACGAAGTTTTATAAATAGCAATATGCAACAAATACAACATTTGCAACAATACAGAGAAAATCAGATATACATTAGTTTTTTTTCAGAACCCAGAACTTAAAAAAAACCCTTCACTCCATTTTACACTGCTTTTATTTCCACTCCCCTCAAAATCTGCACTGCAGTCACGTCTGTAAATGAGAGCTGGACAGTATCAGTCTGAAGTCTATGACACTACACGTAAATTAGCCAGATGAATGGTGGTCTTTTGACCTTATTACTAAGCATTATTGTTCTTGCATGATGGCAGAACAGCAATTGGTGAAGCAAAGCAGATATATAAAACTTTTACTGGTATAATAAAAAGAAAGAATCCTGCAGACATAGGATTTCAGGAAGGGGTTCTCCTAAGTTCTCACAAACTAAACACGGTGGGGCTTGGTCTTTATGACCGCCAAGAAAATCTCAGGATACTGCAGGAAGCAGAGTAAGGGGTTCTCTTTCTTCTAAAGTAGCACTGAAACAGTAATCCCCTATGGTGTTATTAAAAGGCATAGTGTTTGTTCCCGGAGATGCTGTTCATAAAATATCAGGGTTGGAAGAGACCTCAGGAGGTCATCCAGTCCAATCCCCAACTAAATCATCCCAGCCAGAGCTTTGTCAAGCCTGACCTTAAAAACCTCTTAGGAAGGAGATTCCACCACCTTCTTAGGTAACCCATTCCAGTGCTTCACCACCCTCCTAGTGAAAAAGTTTTTCCTAACATCCAACCTAAACCTCCCCCACTGCAATTTGAGGCCATTACTCCTCGTTCGGTCATCTGCCAACACTGAGAACAGTCTAGATCCATCCTCTTTGGAACCCCCTTTCAGGTAGTTGAAAGCAGCTATCAAATCCCCCCTCATTCTTCTCTTCTGCAGGCTAAACAATCCCAGCTCCCTCAGCCTCTCCTCATAAGTTATGTGCTCCAGCCCCCTAATAATTTTTGTTGCCCTCTGCTGGACGCTTTCCAATTTTTCCACATCCTTCTTGCAGTGTGGGGCCCAAAACTGGACACAGAACTCCAGATGAGGCTTCACCAATGTTGAATAGAGGGGAATGATCACGTCCCTCGATCTGCTGGCAATGCCCCTATTTATACAGCCCAAAATGCTGTTAGCCTTCTTGGCCACAAGGGCACACTGCTAAATCATGTCCAGCTTCTCATTCACTGTAACCCCTAGGTGCTTTTCTGCAGAACTGCTGCCTACCCATTCAGTCCCTAGTCTGTAGCGGTGCACTGGATTCTTCCATCCTAAGTGCAGGACTCTGCACTTGTCCTTGCTGAACCTCATCAGATTTCTTTTGGCCCAATCCTCTAATTTGTCTAGATCCTCTGTATCCTATCGCTACCCTCCAGCATATCTACCACTCCTCCCAGTTTAGTGGCATCTGCAAACTTGCTGAGGGTGCAGTCCACGCCATCCTCCAGATCATTAATGAAGATATTGAACTGTTCTTTTGCATGAGAAGGTTGTGACCATGCATGCTCATTAAAAACTCCATAGCACTTTATGCATGAATAATTATTAGAGACTCCATGTCCTCATCAAATTCCTAATTGGATAATTATATTCAGCCTACTGAAATTACTCTGCAGCTTTAATTGGACACAAAGATTCACCAAATCCTTGTTTAAAATTCTGAACTGATTATGCACGTATACAGCTGCCATATCCCACTTTACAGATGGCTGCATTTTACAGTGGGTGAAGTAATTCCTATATACAGTTTAGGAAAGTATGTTATGATCCTTTGGAATGAATACACTCTATGTATTCTCAGTTATTTCTTTGTAAATCTCAAATAACTCTATTGAAACCAATAGTTTTTCCTAGATTTGCACAATTCAATATGAGGGCAAAATATGACTCTATAAACATAAATTAAGATAATTGTTGTTCACTGTTATTATTGATCATAGTAAAATCCTTACACTCTGCAGAGATTAGGGGCTAGATCCACAAAGGGATTTAGGTGCCTAACTACTAAATCTAAAATTTAGATATTCACCTCCCCATACACACACATAGCTGCTGCCTAACTCTGTAAATACCTAATACCTAGGCACCTAAGTTTTCACCAACAAAGTCTGCTAGGTGCCTATTGGGCATGTAAGCAGCTGCCTAAATCTCGGAGCCAAGTGCCAATTCAGACCTACACCCTGACAAGACCCTCAAATTAGATATTTCCCCACTTATCTTTCCTGCTGACCTGATCTGATAGGTGTGCTCATAAGTTGCCTGAGAGTAGACATATGAGATTGAACCCTGCAGAAAACACAGGCACTGGAAGAGAATCAATATCAAAGACAGGGTTCGAACCCATGTTTTCCCAGCTCTAGATCCAAGCTCAAGTCCACTAGATCATATTGTCTCATTTTTTCTTCCATGCAGCACCCATATGCCTCGCACATTCTCCGAAACCCAGCGTGCTTTCCTTGGGATCACTCGTAAAGAGCCACCTCTTCTGCATGGCCCTCAAATGTAATCAATCAGCAAACCGAGAAAAACAAAGAGAGATTCCCTTCCTTTGGGCCTCCCACTGCATCTTGTGTTTCTAAGTCTATCATATATATGGAAGACATGGTGGGCACAAATTTTCTTGCCATTTAGTCCTGTACATCATCAAACACAATTTTCAGTGCCTGGCAATTAATTATAAAACCAATATGAATTAATGTAATCAATTATTGTATTCACAAACCCACCTTCCTCCATTTAACAGCAGAGACAGAATTTTGTTCACCAGCAAGAAAAGTAGCTGTTTTCCAACTTTTTAAAAGTAACATTAGTGACATCAGAAATAGGCTTAGAATTATCTTCAAATTCATCCTAATCTTTCAATGAATTTAAAATCCTTGTTAGTTCCACTTCGATGGTCTTACAGGACAAACGATCAAAACTGTTTTTTAAAAAAATAAATAGGGGGAAATTATACCTTGGTGTTTGTCACTTGAAATGGAAATTTTGAGCCATTTGTAACTTGTGATGTCAGCTTCTCAGTTGGTTTTGAAGAGATTATATTCGTAGCGGGCGGTTGATTGTGCAGAACGGAAGACAGGCAAAGTTGTACAGTCTCCTTCAGAGCTTTCAGCTGTGACTCCTGGGAAAATGAGAAGTCATCAGCTCTTAAAGATAGGCTATAGTGAACAGTGTAGCTTGTTTTCTTTCTGCTCTGAATCAAACACTTGGCAACAGCTGCAGGAATCTTTTTCTTATTAAAGCAGGAAATTAAAGCAATTTAATTCACCCTTTACATAACTGCCGGGTGGGTTACAGTATGTACACAGCACATTAAACAGACTGGGAAAGTCATAGTAAACTCTCCTCTATTCTCATACAACTTTACCAGGATATCTTATTCTAGAGAATTTTTTAAAGACTACTTATATTAAAAGGAACTAAGGTGTACCAAACATCAGGGTTGTAACAGCCTTTGTTTTTAGGATTGCTGGAGAGAAAGAGACGTTCATTTGTATGTTTTATAAACACACACACACATATGTGGGTATGTAGTTTTGTGTCACTCGTTCAGGATACTCAGTATTTCTGCAGAAGTGTATTTATTGTGACAGAAAGATCCTCTCTCTCAGATGCAATTATGCTGTCACATAGTTAATAATATATCCATAATTTGGTTTGGATTGGGAAATTTTAAAATTACCATGGTCCAGATGAAAACAAAAACACTCAGGATCCAAGAATTGTGAACAGTAAAATGAGCTGCTGTTCTCAAAATATTTAGGAGGCACTTCCTATAATTATACCGGGAGTTACGGTATAATTATAGGGAGTGCCTCCTACATATTGAGAGAACAGCAGCTCATTTTACCATTCACAATTCTTGGATCCTGAGTGATATTTTTTTAATAAAGAAAGAAAGAAAGTTAAATATCCCATTTGGATAGAAATACTGAGTATCCTGAATGAGTGGCACAATACTCCAAAAGAGTTATGGTATAACAGTCTTATTGAAAGGATGCAGACCACTCTCTTATAAACTAATGAAACTGTCCAACTGATGTGCTGTAAGCAAAGAGAGGAAGGATTTCCCAATGGGTAGGGCTCTAGCCTGGGATTTGGGAGACCTTGGTTCAGTTCCCTGCTCTCCCAAAGGCTTCCTTGTGTGAACTCGGGCAAGTCACTTAGCCTCTCTGTGCCTCAGTTCCCTCCATGTAAAATAGGGTTAATAGCACTTCCCTTCCTCAAAGGAGTGTTGTGAGGACAAATACACTAAAGATTATGAGGTGCTCAGATACTATGATAATGGGGGCCAGATAAGTACATTATATCGATAGTTCCAAACATACAGTAACATGTAAAATAGAGAGAGAAAGAACGGGCCACATTACATTACAGGTGCATCTAAAGTAATTTAGCTGCTTATATCTAGTGCAATTCAGCATGCCTTTAGCACTGCTAAGCCAAATAACCAATAACAAACGTCCTGAGATTTTTTCCCCATTTTTTTATATCCTGATAACTATGATGTGTAATCTATTAGAGAAGAATAGAACTGAATTATCAGTCCCACCTTGCTTCCATCGAATTAGAATCTAGAGATAAATCCCATAAACGGACCTGTCTGGTACCCAGGAAAGCACAACTTGGGTTTTATTCAAGAGAAAAAACACCAGTATGAAAACTACCCAAGGGTGTGATGCAAAAGCACTATTCATATCAGAAAGAGGATAATCACAGAAACAAGAGATGGACAGAAGATTAAAAGGAAAGAAAAAATAGGAAAAAACGGAATAGTTTTCCTGTTTCCTTATGGTGGGGAAAAATCTGTAACTCAGTGCAGTGATTGTGTAGGCTTGCCAGAGTAAGTAAATAAAAATCATCCAATAGGAAAGCAGTAGGAGATCAATGACTGTTCCTCCACACACCCCAAAAGCATCTGAGGGACGCAAATCCATTGTGCAACACTTCACAACCAATAACTGGCCTGCACAGCTACCTGGGTGCCCTGAGGGAAGAATGCCATGCAATCTCAAGAGATAGCTTAGTTTGTACATTTCCTCTACACTTCCAGGAGGTGAGGAATGGACTTGGCTCAATAATTCCCATGGGGTTATATACATCCGCACTACATCATGCTTGGGACTGTGGCTAAACGCTAAAATCTAGCCCAAAAGTTGATCAAGTATCAACATCTCTTTGTTGCAAGGTAACCTTAGAATTCGGCTTGATACAAGTTTCTCAGTTTACTTTTAATCTTATTGATCCCAATCTTGAAAACCCTACATTTGAGTTTAATTTTATGCACTGATTCGTTCCATTAACTTCAGCGGGACTGTTCAGAGTACATTAAGTGCATGTGTAAGTCTTTGCAGAACTGATGCCTTAATTTGTATTTCTTTGTCAAGTTACAGCAACTTTCCCCTGCAAGCTAGTCCATAGAGGAGGAAGGGAGCGAATAGAGCTAAACACGTTTATAGCACCCAGATAAATTCTTACTTTGTCAAGGGCGGCTTTTTCCAGCTTGTCTTTTGCAATTGCTAACTTTTGCTCCAGGTCTGTGAGCTGTTGGGCCTGTTGGAATAAAAAAAAAAAAGTAGTTGATATAATTTACAATACAATCATTTCCCCAGTCATTTTGCATGCTAGGCCTGAGAGCGAGGAAAGTGTTTAACTTTGCAGATTAAAGTTAAAATTACTTGTCAGATGACCAAGCCCCAAGGGATATTTTTTACTGAGAAAATGTGGCTTTTTATGTGGGAACTGGGCTCAATCCTGCCCTGTTTATGTCAATGAGAGTTTAGTCATTCACTTCAGTGGCAGTAGGAAAAGTCCCCATGTGTTCTGAAGAATTTAGAAAGCCCAACTTAGAGCACTTTTTGTAAAACATTGAAGCGTTCGTATAGTTTTTGTTCCTTGGCTAGTCTTGTATTCCTAACCATTCAGACTCTCTCCGCTAAACTGGAAATTAGACTATACATAACACAGGCACAAACAGCCATGCATACATACTGTGACAGGCTTCAGGGCCTACTCCCTGGTAAACATGGAGTTAACTCCATCTCTGCTTCTTCCTCCTCTTTTGTATGGCACTCAAAGGAAGGGCTATAGGAATGGCTGTTTTTGAGACATTGTACAGTCCAAATCCAGGGGCCCAGGCTAGACCCCACACTGGAGGAGTTTTCTCAAGGAAGAGACCTTGGTAATTTAGACAAATGTTTTGTGTGTGCAGTCATTCCACTGGCTTAAATTTACAACAGTCTACCTGAGTTTCCTGAATTAACAGCAGGGAGTGATTTCCCGCCCCTGGAACACAGAATAATTCAATAGAATTTTCCCTGAAGAAAAAGAAATTTCTAGTAGGGAACTGAACGTTTAAGGAGTTAAGAGTCCCTAGCTTCCTATGGCTGTGCCACCTATAATGTAATAGCACATACTATGTAACTAAAGAGTTGTGGGGTTTTGTTTTTGTTTTATTGTTTTATTTGCAAATATAAATAGCTTTGTAGTTATTTTCAATTTTTATGAAGGAGAAGGGAGGAAAGCACATTGGACCAGATGGCTGTCTCTTCCATCTGAAACTGTAATGAGGCATTGTACATTTTTTGCATATAAATAGATCTGCAAGGTTCTAACTCATCAGTCAAAGGACATCACATTTTAGGCCTTTGTAAATGTTTACTCAAACAACCAATTGCTAAAATATATTGCTATTTTTCCCCAGAGATACCACAGTGCAGATGTTTGACTTACCTACTTCCCACCCTGCTAAAGTTTTTGTGTGTGATATTTTTCTATTTTATTATTTGGTAGACTTTGACTATGCTGAAGGTGGTTGAACAACGGAAAATTAACTGAATGTCATGTACAGAATTAAAAACAAAAAGTTATATTAAATATATAGTTTTAAATGTCTGACAAACTAACAAAAGTCATGACAGTCAGAGTCATGGCCCTCCACTCTCCTGCTGAAGTGAAGAAAAGGCACTTGTTCATATCTAAACACTTATGGTTTGTTATGTAGTCACAATGGGACAGGACTGATGAGCCCCTCTCTCTTGACGTGGATTCTGAGACACAACATTGTGCATCAGCTCAAAAGTAGACAGTGACTCATTACACTGGCAATGATTGCAGTTTGGGGGCTCTTAAAACCAGGTATGACTGTTATGGTTCAGCTGTTGGGTATAAGTTAATGCTCTTGATTTATGACTATAAACCTTTTGGGGCTCATGGGCTCTTTCTGTTCTGTGTTTGTATAGTTCCTAGCACAATAATGCCCTGGTCCATGACTGAGGCTCCTAGGCACTAACATAACAGAAATAAATATCAATATTAATGTCAATATTAATATCAATATGATGATGATGATGAAGAACAAGGAGCAGCTTCAGCAAAAGAACCCAAGTTCCACGCCTTCATGTTATCACCCATCCGGGTGTCTGCCATTTGGTCATGAAAAAAGAGGCCTGAATTGCTCATGTGGCCAAAAGGAGATTTGGCTGACATTTATTGGCTATTGTTGGCAGCCATGTTAGCATGATCCAGCGGTATGTCTATATTTCAAGCTAGGGGGCAGGAGTCCCAGCACAGGGAGACATACCGGTGCTAGCTCTCATCAAGTTTTCATGCTAAAAATAGAATGTAGCGTGAGACAGGCTAGCAGCCTTGAGTATATACTCATGCGGGACCCTAGATACATACTCAGGGTGGGTAACCCATCCAACTGCCACTGTATATTGAGCATGTTAGCTTGATTAGAGCTGCTGCAGGTTTGTCTCCTTGAACTGGGAATCACACCCGAACTGGAAGTGCTAAACTGCCTGAGGGATGAATTTGGAGAAGCACTTGCAATGGTGGTGGGTTGGGCACAGAAGGACATTATGTGGACAATGAGCACCTCCATACATGTTGCAGGGGAGGATCAGACAAAGACAATACTGATGTCTGCTCTGGACTATGTATCCCAATGATGTACACCTCTCAGATATAGTAGGTACTATTCCCTCCCCCACCCAATTTTTTCCCTTCCAGCTCTAATTTTCAATATAAGCATACTATCATGGATTGAGAGGAGGTTGCCAGATTTGTTGATGGAATACAGCAGCTAAACTCAAGGCTAGTAGCATTGTGGAGGTGTGCGTTGGCTGCAGAACGTGGGGGTGGCTTGGGTCTCCAGAGTGGCTGTGAAAGTGATTTAATGAATTACTTGTGAATTAGGAATCAACTCTCACCCTGAACTGGAGTTGGATCTAAAGAAATACCTGAGATCAAGCTATGAAGCTCAGGGGTAACTTGTATAGAAGCTTGCAAAGGGCTCTGGGTTTACCTAGACTGTTTAGACTTTGAACAGTTAAGCTGCTCAAGATTTGGGTATCAGAAGATTTGCTTCCAATCCTCTGTTAGCATTAACTCTAGATATTCTTGCTGTTCCTATAAACATGATGATGAGTTTAGCTGGTTGTTGCCTCCCCGCATCTTCTCTGATGCCAAGTGAGGAAGTCTTCAGGTGTTTGTTGTTACAATAAAGTTGTGACCATTTGGTCAAAAATCTACTTTTTGTGTCTGTCCTCACTGATGCCAGCCATTCACAATCCTGACCTGGGAGGTAATGAATCCAATAGATTATAATGACTTTAAAGTCACAGCGTGTCAGGCCAGAAGGGACCACCAATCTAACCTCCTTTATATCACAGGCCACCAATACCACTCAACACCCACACACTAAACCCCGCAACTTAAATCAGACCAAAGTATTACAGCCCACAGGAGACTAAACTATTATGTGTCATAAGAAGAGAACAGGAGGTACTGAGGTGCACTAGTGCCAAAGTTTCCTGCACTGGCAGGGAAATGATTGAGTGAGATATACCCAGCTATCCTGGCAAGTGACCTGCACCCATGTGCTGCAGAAGAAGGCAAAAAAACCCTCTCAAGATCAGTGCCAATCTTATCTGAGAAAAAATTCCTTCCTGGCCTCACATATGGCAACCGGTTAGAACCTCAGCATGTGAGCAAGAACCAATGAGCCAAGCATGTGAGAGAAAGAAAGAAAGAATGCTCAGTGTCACTTCAGAGCCCTGGCCTTCCCCATCCAGTCTCATCTCAAACCAGGCCATCAGAGAAGGAGATTAAAACAAAACAACCCAGAATACACTGGAGCGGGGCACGGAAAAATCCCTTCCTGACCCCTGCAAGTGAAACCCCCAAAGCGTGAGCTTTTAGGGACATAAGATGGAAACTGGAAGTGAACCTCCAGCTGATGATCTCCACCACCTACCATCACATGTAACTCTTTCATACAATTGCACTTGTAAGTTTGCCCAGCTCTCTCTTACCAGCTCTGTGGTCCTCTGTCAGGACCAGTCTTCTGTCTGGCTTCCTGGAGGATTTCTCTCTCCTGCAGCCTGTCCACCATCCTTTGCCTGGGCTTCTAAGCTCCTCCAGGCAGCATGTGTGGCAGATCTGGAGGGGCAGGGCTACCTTGGCTCAGTATTGCCCTTTAACAACTTCAGACCCAGTGTGGGTTTGAATATCCCATCACACATCCCTAATGCATTAATAGAAAGCAATCATATCCCCTGTAAGCCTTCTTTATGCTAGACTAAACAAGCCAATCTCACCCAGTCTCCTCTCTTAAGAGAGGCCCTCCATTCCCCTGATCATCCTATACTTGTTCTCTGCACCTGTTTAAATGAATCTTTCTTGAATATGAGTGACCAGAATTGCACACAGTATTCCAAATGAGGTCTCACCAGTGCCGTGTACAATGGCATTAATACTTCTCTATCTTTATTAGAAATGCTTTCCCTGATGCATCCTAGGATTTTTCACAGCTATATTACATTGGTGGCTCATAGTCATCTGTGACTGACCCACAAACCCAGGTCTCTTTCCTTCTCTCTCGCTTCTAACGGATGGGCCCTCAGCTTGTAGCAGAAATTCTTATTATTCGACCCTGAGCGTCTGACCTTCACTTCGTACTATTGAACTTCAATCTATTTCTATTACTCCAGTCTTCAAAGTCATCCTGTATGATGTTCCAATCCTCCTCTGTATTGACAATGCCTCCCAACTCATTTCATCATCAAATTTCATCAGTGTACTCCTACTCCTTGTGCCAAGATCATTAATAGAAATATTCAATAAGGTTAGTCCCAAGACACATCCTTGATGAACTCCACTAGCAACACCCTCTGGTCTGATAATTCACCTTTCAGCACAATCAGATGCCTTCTTTACCTTAGAGAATTCCTCATTTGCCTTACAGTTCGTGTACTGATCCCCATCTTCTCCAATTTAACTAATACTTCTTCATGAGGCATTGCGTCAAATGCTTTACTGAAGTCCAAGTGCACTAGATTTCCCTTATCTAAAAAAATCAGTTATTTTCCCAAAGAAGGAAATCAGTTTAATCGGGCATGATCTACCCGTGGTAATCCCATGTTGCATTACACCCCCTTTTCCTCCATACATTTAATTATTCTTTCCTTCCCAGTTTGTTCTAAAGCCTTGCATACTACTGAGGTCAGACTTACATGTCTACAATTGCCTAGATCACTTTTGTTCCCTGT